TGTTGCACCATACACAACATCAATAAATTCAAACCTTCGAATTAGTTCAAGTATGTAACTTATTCATTTTGCAGTCGAGTTGTACTGTGACCCGGTCTTGTTTAAAACGGGGCGACTAGGTAATCCAGCATTACCTACCTTAGGTAGGTTATATAGCCCAGATATTTTAGAACCCGAAGAATTTATTTTGATCGGCTGATATTGTAGAAATCTTTTTCACTCTTTTCGCGATTTAAATGAGTTGTTTGAATTTTGTTTATTCGGAAATCCTGTACTTGACTTTCATATGACAATAATCAAATTCGAACAGCACAATGATTCACTCGGCTTCACATTATCAAGTGTACGTGTGCGATTTCATAAAGCTGAATATGGGATTAACTGGTGAACAAGTGTCAGTACTTCTCCAGAGTTTCTGAGAATGATGCTGTTAATTCTGTCACGGCTTCGAACCACACGACTGAGAGTCGCGTGAAATCTGAGCATCAAACAAAAATGTATTTAAACAGCGGTTCTATCATTAAAAAGTATATGCATTTCGGTCATGAGCCTGAACTTGTCAGGTATCTGTGACGGTTGTTCTTCTACATATACGGAAGAAGAAATGCTTCGATAACGTAAATGATGGGCGGTAGTTGTGCTTAAATTCAATGATGAATATCAACAATTAAATGGAGACTAGGAAAACAAAATTATGGGAGCTGTTGTACCTAGACAAAATCTCAGCAAAGGCAAATTAACTGAAGGTCACTGTTGCGAGTGTCCAGAGAATGTGATAACGATAACAAAAGGAGTGAATATTTATTCATTGTTTGTGTATCGACTTATATTACTTGATAATGAACTCTTAGTTTCCATTTCGGTTGTTGATAAATTGTTGTTAAAATTCGGCACAGTTACCATCTGTCATTTACGCTGTCGTATTCTGTAATTACTCTTCATATTACTAATACAGGAACAACTTCTCTTGATAGACATACAGACACGTTGATCATCGTAGATGCCAATTTTTTTATATTTTTTTTATAACAGAACGTTCTTTAGACAAATAGTTGTCTAGAAGCTCCTCTTTAATTTGAAATAAAGCGTCAATCCAGTACATTGAGATTTGATAAAGACTCACTTTCACATGCATTATTTTGCAAGATCAATTGGGAATCTTTGACTTCACTCACTAAAAATTTGCTGTGATAGATATCGGCTCCTATTTGCGATGAAGTTACACGTTCTCATTACTTGACAGCTTAAACACACATATTGAATACTCATATGGGTAACATACAAACTGTCACGCAATCTCGTTCCACTATCAACTGAAATTTGGATAACATCGACTCCATTATCACCATGTAATAAATACATTTTACAGACCAGTAACCAAATAATTTATTACCTTCCGCTTACTTCATCTTGTTCCTTCTACTGGTGAGAGGTACAACGAGTCAAGTACGAGTATGTGATATCAAACATAACAGTACAAATCATAGTGACCGTTTCCTTTATATGTCTGAGTAATAGCACTCATAATGTGTTGATAGTGTCAGATGAAGTCACAAATAAGTGGGACAATATCGAACCGGAATCCGCAGTGTAATTGAAGTGGAAGTCAAGTACAATGAAATGTTATACTGACAAATAAACCGCAAATCCAAATGATATTCTCTAATCATATAACGCCTAATTACGAGTAAACTGAAGCGTTCGATGCAATCGGCTTGAAAGTGTTTACGAAAGATTCACTGAAACGTCTGTTCCTATTCTTCGTTTGCTGATCAATAATGTACAGTGAAACATTCTGAACGAAATTGAGTTGGTAATAGGAAGATACAGTAAGAATCACATGTCTTCCTCATGCTAGTAACTGCTTGGCCAACAATATGCAGTTGCAGGTCCACATTTACAACAATAGAGTGAGCAAAATTACGTGTGAATGATTTTCACAATTTCCGGTGAATTTATATCATTGTGTTTGTGGTGCGATTGAAATGCGATACGTACACCATATTCTGATTACTCTTCATAATTATTCTGGCAATCACGTGACCAATCCATTTGAGCCTATTTACTACTCTTGAATATTTTTAACCGAGTTGACTTGAATTCAGTTAGCCGACAACTTTCTCTTCTACATGAATCTCATCACAGTAACTGGGATGATCTGGTGGATTGGCTGTAAACAACCACATCTCAACCAACTTAAGTGGGGAGCAGAGTAGTGAACTGTCGAGTTCGTTGTTCATCGAATCATCCTCGTAGCATCATGTATGGTTCTCAACGTCAGAGAACAGAGAGAATAGAGATTATGACATGATATTTGTGTTCGTAGGGCCGAAGTATTGAATGAAACTGGTGTTTGATTTTAACATTTCTTCACTTCATTATCTACATTGTTAGAACCAGCTGACAGAGACAAATCGGAACGTGTCACTTTGTTAACAGTAATTTATAATAGATCAGTTCACATTTTTGGTGAAGTGAGTTTGTGAACGGTTGACGGAGAGAAAGATTGTTGTTTAGAGTCAGAATCTGACACGTTATCACTGTCCTCATAATCATAGTCTGTTTTATTCATGACTATGAGATAGAAATGAAGTCACACCACCAAATTTTCACCTTCACAAACTAAAAATCATCATCACTGTAAATGTGACACAGAATTGAAGTTGATGAATTTTCAACAAGTGACGTAACTTCCCACCTCAATGTAATCTGCAGACATACATCCCATCAGTTGATTTGTATTTACCTCGAGTTCATTGGATGGACCGAATTGTTAGTCGAGAGAAAATTACTGTTCTCACAATGATCAACAAATTATCGTTCCGATTGAATAAATACGTTGTAATAATATCACTCCGAATTTGACGTCATATGTTGATGACTAGTTTCATGTTGGAGCATTAGAAATGTACACAAACACGACAGTGCATTCAAACGAATACAAGAAGCGGATGAACTCATCATTCTGTAATTCAACCAAGAATAATAACGTTTCATATTTAGATTTTCATCCAGTTGAGAGATGGGTTCTATCGCAAAACAAAATCAACTCAGAAACGAATATTAGGAAGGAAGCATTACTCACTAGTCCTCAACTTCAAGGTACGTTTGGTAATGTTATGGTGACAATCTGCTATCAGTGTGACTGTTTCCCTTGGAAGTCGTGACAGTCACTGAATGAGGGTAGCAGTGTATTACGAGTCGATGGAAAGTTCAAGGCAAAATGAACGACAGCAGTTGCACTGACTCTAAACAAGAAGACAGTAACAAAATGCACCATAAATTCGTTGTACATTCCAATGTGTTTAAATCACATGAGCTGCAAACTAGTATTCCTTATACGATCTGTTGTTTGAATGATTCATGTTTAGACACGTGCACATGGTTTCGTCGAAGTGCTTCCATTCCCGTCTTATATCTGAACCACTGCCACCACCGTCACTAGCAAAGAAACCACTCTTCGTCACCGCTGGTCAATCGAAGTATGGTCACATTTACACTACTCACATCATTCTCTAATTATGTTTCATGCATCTCTCGACAATCTGTATAAACTGGTCACTCATTGTATTAACAGTGCCTATCAGGTAGACTGTCATTAAGCCCTATCTATTTTCATTTAATATTGAGTTGATCTTTCAGTGAATATTTTATCTCGCAACCTACATCCAAATTATGAAAATACTAATTAGACCAAAGTGACAAGTGTAACTGGGTCATCTATTCAACAACATCATTAACTCATTTTTCATCCATTTCACCTCTTCTTCAACCTTCCTGATTACAATTTACGTAAATAATAGATTATCCAAATCATGATCATACACCTACATGACCATGTGAGATTTTGTAATTATTTAGTTTAATAGACAGCCATCAATTTGTTTTTCGTTGAAGTTATCCGGAGTTTCTTATCTAAGATGTCAAAATCGAAACACTGAAAATGGTATCCGTTTCGCTACAACCAACCAACTTTCAATATGACTACTGGGTTGCTCAAGAAATGTTCGGATCGATCAATATTCCCTTACTTGTGTGGGAAACGTGTGAATCGAATATGTTGTAAATAGGAGGAGATTGTTGAGAATATGTTTTGCCTCCCTACTAAATGTGGAATGAATTGGTGAGTAGGCTAGGATGTTTTGAAATGCTAATCAGTAGAATCACCGAATTATTCGTCAGTTTCTCATTGGTATTTTCACACTATATTATTTATTCACCTGTCGGTTGTCTTTATCACATCACTCAGTCAAAATTCAGCTGCACAGTATTCTCTGAACTTCATTTCCGATCCGCGATCATAGTTTGTTTGAAAACTACAATCGAATGTGACAATGGTGAAATTGAATAAAACGGTGCTGTGAAGTGACACTGTATCTTTCATACTGATATGCTTATTGTTATGGAAACGTTTTTCAGAATATCCAGATTATCTGATGCTTGGTGTCGAGTGAAATGAATTGTTCGTGAATTGTGGTTGACGAGTGTCGATTGAAATTCAGTTCGGAATGAAACAAAATCAAAATTACAACTACTAATCAGTCAGTTGAATGTTAATTTCTTCATACACAGATTTCACTCAACACATTTCAGCTCAACTATTTCAGTCTCAATTAGGCGATGAAGTGATGAGTGTAATTGACAGCCTCCACAGTCCAGTATTCATTCGGAAATGTCGCTTTTCCAGTTATATCAAAGGTCAACCAATCCAATGTATAGAGTGGAACCCATGTTTGCACGTTTTGTGAACTTCTATCCTTTCAAATTCATATGAGCACAATCACAAAACAACCATCGAGAGCCTCTAAAGACTCGGACGGCAATGCTCGTCATGACTGACGGATCGACATCATATTGCAAACCATTACAAACCGGGAAATAGTGCACAGTTATCCCATTCCACTTGAATCTAAACAGAAAACCTTAGTGACGAAATCATACTCAATAACAATAAAACGTTGTAGTCGAAATGCGACTCACGTAGACAATTGCGATTGGATAACGACCTGATTACAATCGACCGTTGATTGATGAATAGAGCAACCAATGAAAATAGGTGTTTTGGACGAAAAATCTATATAAACACCACACATCATCATCATTAACATAGCATTGTAACTTGATATTTTCAGAGAATGTACTGGCCTGGAGATGCAAGTGAGTATCGGTAGAAACTATTGTACCAATGATGAATAATTTTGTTCTTCTTTCCAGTTGTCAACAACCAAGTAACACAAACAACTGTTTATTCCTGTCACCGTAGTGAAGCAGCCACACAATCTACCGTGAGTTCAGATCGATGGTTGAATTATTGTGCATTGTTTGTTTTCTGATCAAATGTGGCAATATTACTGTCTGTGAGTGATGGTCATGTAACTGTTTCGGTGTCAAATCACCAAGCATGTGTGAGAGTGATTTGGCTTCAGCGTTCACTCATTCTCTCTTCCTCATTATGTGTACTTTGTTCGCCCACTGACAGGTGGGCAATGTGCAGTCGACGATGTGTCGAGGTATAGTGAGATCACCTGCATACAACTGACAGTTATACATGCAATTCAGACACAACTTGTACAAATTACCAGTTATTCTTTGCCTTTACACTAGAAAATGAATGACATCCACGAACATTTGAACAGTTCGCATCAGTCTACATTTTGCACATCAATTCTCTAATCTATGTCGGCTCGGTCATTATATGTATTTCACTCTTTTCCATCGATATCATCACAATAAATCTTCTCTTATTATTATTCATTACAGACTTCCTATAGAATATCCAATCTACTGAAACTCATTCCAACATGTCTCAACCAAGTGATATCCAATCTGACGGGATCAGTGAACAGTGTTGTGGATTTGCACTGAACACTATAACTTCGATCGTTTATTTGAGAACATAAATTTTTCATTATATGTACATGATTCTTCCGTTGTTTGTCCACATTGTAAATTAATCATCATTCATTATTGTCCTCATGTTGTTAACATCTGTTCGTGTTTTCACTGGGAATTGTGTAATGCTTTCATCAGAACCATTTGTGTTTGTTGATTATGTTTTATATGTGTTGTCAGTAATAAATTCCTTCTGCATAATCAATAAATGATAATACTATGAATGATTATTCTCTTGTGTTGACGATGCGAGAAGCTTTAGTATGCACAAAGTGTTCACATAGATTGTGATGTTATGAGTGCAGAAGTGTTTGAATCAATTGATGTACGAGTGAAATTCGAGTCACTTAATCATATAGAGTTGTTCGTTACAGACGAAGGGTATTGTGTGGAGTGGCGATTAGGTGTCAGAATGGTGAAACGCTTGATAATGACTAGCATTTAATAATTCACGGTTGTGCTCATCTTCTCCATAATTAACTATGTAAGAATAAGTGAATTTGATGGTAAAGAAGTACGGTGTTATGTTATTCGATTTGTAATTTGGTTGGTTTTACCAAACGTTCGCAGAGAACGTCAAAATTGTTCTGATACTCTTAAGACAGTTCACTGCAGAATTGAGGTAGTGTAATATTTAATTTTTAAAGAATACTTAAGGAACTAAAACTATTTACATAATTATGTTTTAATAATTGGGAATAGCCAAAAAAATACAACGTGCAAGTATTTACATCGGTTTGATCTTTGATACATACTTAATTCATCTTCACTAACATAGATTATTATGAAGCTAAATTAAAGTATATGGATAACAAAATATAATAATGGGATCAGTTGTAGTAGGGAAAGAAGTACTACACAAATAGTGATATTATCAACCAATATTCTTAATTACATGGTGAATTTAAAATGTATACTAACAAAGCAGACTGTCAGGAGAGTTAAAATATTATCAGAAGGGGTTTGTGGAGATTTTTAGAAATTTTCACAGATTGAAACCATGAGCCAGTTGAAGCTAGACCACCATTGAAATCCTGGAAGCACTGGACGGCCGTTTCGTCCTAGTATGGGACTCCTCAGCAGCGCGCATTCACGATCCTGCACCACGCGGGGCTCGAACCCAGGACCAACTGGCTTCGCACGCGAGCCCTTAACCATTAGACCACTGAGCCAGGTCTGTTGTGAGATATCAGCTCACTGAAGACAATGGTGTACGATGGCGCAACTTCGTGGATTGGTTGAAGTTAGACATTAACATCGTTGGATGCCGGCTCAGTGGTCTAGTGGTTAAGTGCTCGCGCGCGAAGCCAGTTGGTCCTGGGTTCGAGCCCCACGTGGTGCGGGATCGTGGATGCGCGCTGCTGAGGAGTCCCATACTAGGACGAAACGGCCGTCCAGGGCTTCCAGGTTTTCAATGGTGGTCTAGCTTCAACTGACTCATGATTTCAATCTGTTAAAATATTAGTCATTCACCTTATCTCATAGTAGTTAACTATCATTTCGTTTTGAACAAACTGATATCATTAGTTCTCTCATAGGTGGATGATTTTAATAATCACTGTGTTGATAGAATAATACAAAAAAAAGTGCAAGCTAATTCCTATTCCCTTTCAAATCACAACTTCATATTTAAACACTGTTGTAATAATTTAAGATCCCATTGAAATATCAATAAATTATTTCTTAAAATTACTTTTTTTCTTCAGACTGGATTATTTTGTCTATCCGTTAAACAGTTTTATGAAATTTTCTTATTCTATTGAAGAATTTCTTGGATTGTTTGAGGTTAAACATTGACATCGTTGGATTCCGGCTCAGTAGTATAGAGGTTAAGCGTTCGCGCGCAAGACTGAAAGCCTTGGGTTCGAATCCCACGAGCAGGATCGTCGATGTGCACTTCCGAAGAGTCCCACAATAGGATGAGACGGCTGTTTATTGCTTCCAGGTTTTCAATGGTGGTTTAACATCAATCAGTTCATGATCTGAATCAAAAACTATTGAAAAATTGTGTCAAATCTCTCAGGTAATAAATAACTTGAAGTCATCCTTTTCTTTCTACTTATTTTCACGTAAACTACTATTGTTCACGCCTATAATTGATGTCTCATTAGCCATATTAACTTGTTCCTTTTGCTTTTGTTTCTGTAATTTAATTGAAAATTTAAGGGCAATAACTCTATTAACTTAATAAAATTGTCCAATTAGCCCATAAACTGACAATGTTTTAAAGAAATGGATAATCTATCTATCTTAATCTAGAACTGTTGAGATTCAAAGAAGTAAACAATCATTTTGTACTATCATTGTGTAAAATATTAAATTAATTGTTCAATCAACTAGGTAACCTGAATTGTTTCTATTTGTCAGTCAATTCATATTCTTTCATACCCGAGTTTCTAAGACTAATATGTAAAGTCTTGTTAATACATGTCAATAAAAAACAAACACAATGATTAACAAATAATAATAAAATTTGATCGTCCCACTGACTAGCTTTGTATAGATATATGTCATTCAACAGTTTTTCTCCCACGATCAACTGATTCCAATAGATATACTTCTAAGAATCAATAAAACCGTTGAGATAGACAAGTTCGATGAGATGCAGACACTAATCGGTTAAACAGGATAGAATATAGTTGGAAAAAACGAATAATGAATCATAACCCTATAGTTGAATAATATTAAGCCCAGAACCTAAAGGTTATGAATTCAATCTTGTGTGGGGTAAATACTGTATACTACTGTAGAGTCCTAAACTAAAATGTAATGGCTGTCTAACATTGCCTACCGTTCAACGATTGTCTAGATGACATACGTTTGTGGTAAAAAAAACTGTCATCCCAACGTAACTTCTGAAAGCTTAGACATAAATCTAGCGAAATGGACAGCATTTAGTTTATTTTGAAGTACAACTGATTTACAACGGATTAACACTCATGAAATTGCAAACTGCTTACCATGAAAACACTAACAGAATATACCATATTTTGAAATATAATGATAAATCAATATTAGTAGTCTTATGTCTTACGATCAACCAATATGCCTAGATGACTTTAAGCAAACGATACGCAGCAAGAACGAGGGAGACTGAAACCCTATGCGTGACCGTTGTGCTAATACTAACTAATTCCAAACGAAGAGGAAAAACACAAGACTAATGATCGCCAGTCCAAGATCATTACTATATTTCGGACACTCATTTATATGCATACAAGATCAGACCATACAACAGACCAGTTGAGTATCAGTATCAACACTGAACAGCAATATTAATGATCAGAAAAACTAAATGTGGTGTGTGCTACTGATGTCGACAGATATAAGTGGTATGTATCATCAATCGATAGTGAAATGCGTGGTGGCAGAAGATTAAGATCGAAGAAAAGAGAACGAGAACATAGAATAATTGGTGTGGAAATGAAGGAACAATAAAATCCGAGACGATTGATTGACATTTTGCAAATGAAAAATTTACTGTATTGTTCTCAGACTTTCTGTAATTTTGTGACTTTATACATTCGAATGTCCCTACCTGTGTTCTCGTTCACTGCACTGGGTACACAGATAACCGATCCTAGTTTCTGAGTGGAAATGCTATGGAAACGATTTACAGGTAAGATAACAATTTGAAACTAGGGTAATACGAAAATAATATGACCAAAATTCTTAACAAACATGCAAAATTATAGAAAATAGCTTCGAAAGTTTTCACTTCATAATTCATTTTTATATTGGTTGTTTAAATCTTTCCATTATCACTGCTTTTCACCTCATAGTTAAATTGTATCTTAGGCCATAGATTTTCCATAATCTTTATTTAAAAATAAAAATAACTTTCTTTTCCTAAATCTACAGTTTCTATCTCATGAATTCATTTTGGACAGAAAAATTTCCGACTAGTTTTCATTTAAATATTGATATTTTATCCAAGTTCATTTTGTTTTTTCAGGATATTCAAATCAGAGTGAAAATGTTTTATTCAGGTCAAGGTCAAGGACCACAAACATTTATCTTGCTATCTGAAAGGGTAGAAATATATATGCGAATTTTCTAAATTCTCTGAGGGTTTATTTCAATTATTGATATAATGAATAGTATATACTAACACTAATAAGGACCGCCTGAAATTCGATTCTTATAATAATGACTACTGATAACATAAATGATATATGAGGATTTGAAAAAGGTTGACATCCTCAGTAACAGTATCTCAGTATAACCAAATAAAGTTACACTGAGCAGTATATTCCATGATTTTAGCTCACCAAATCAAATAATCAGGTCGAAAATCACTAAACTGGTGCCAAACACAAATGTCATTCAAGTTGTGATCAGTCGATAGAATAGAGGTAGATATCAGATGTAAATGAGGAATATTCTTAATACCAGTCGGAAACTGCATCTCAGTATAAGCATATTACCTATGGCGAATCAAAAACGCCAATCTAGGTTTTAATACGAAATTACAATATCATGAATTACGAGTGGTTAAATAACAATCGTATACTACTCAAGACCCTAAAGTGTTAATAAGAAACCCCATCATGCAATACAGTGGCTTCCTAAAATATGAAAATCATAAATGAGATACATGACACGCACATCCTCTTTCAGTTGTCTATTACATACTCCGTAATTCTTTCAGTTCTGTTCTTATTCCATTTACTCGGCTTTCCAAGCCACCCTCTTCACTTTAGTCTTATGCTGGCAAGCATTCCGTTTCCGAGTTCTGCTGTGCACCACCTACATCTATGAGTCCAAGTAGCAAACACCTCAATAGTACTAAATATATTACTTACGTACTTGAGCACGTTACTCCTCATGGAGGAGCATGGGACGCCCATCAACATCCTTTATTCAACTATGTCATACGCAAACCTGCCAAGTTCTTTCTACTTGACATTCATCCCATTCATGTCTGCTTCCAATTATTTAGCCTTACTCTTTTCCGTTTCCGTTCACGGATTCAAGTTCCGGTTTGCTTCGTGATGCAGTTCGGTAATTTCCTCAATGTGTGACAAATCCACTTTCATCGCTTTTCCATAATATCCCCTTCAACTGGAAGCTGGTTTGTTCACTCTCACAGTAGGCTGTTGCTCATGGTATACGGTCAACAGACATTGAGTATCTTACGCAGACACTTGTTTAGAAATACTTGTACCTCCTTCATGATAATTGTAGTAGTTCTGCAG